GTTCTTCCGACTGAGGTTTCCCTAGAAATTAATTCTGCAAACAAGACTCAGGAGAGTGATGTTGCCATTGAGACGGTGAACATTGAAGGGGGTGGAACCCTGGAGACTGAAGCCGCGGGAGACGTGGTTAAAGAAGCTTTCACTTCTCAGGAAGTCGGAGCTGCCTCTACTTTTCCTCCCCAAGACGGCCTGGACAAAATCGTGGACACTGCTCCTGAGGTTCCCTCTGTTGATGAAAGCTGAAGTTTTTTCTGGAAAGATTTGAAGTTTTTGCTTTTTGGACTTTCTTTTGTTTTGATGTACTGTGGCTCGGTCCCCTTGACGGGTTCTCTCTCTATACTTGCCAAGACAATTTTTCTTTTTTCTTTTTTTTTTCTTTGTTACTGGCTATAAGGCCATTCTTGCCTTTGTTGGATGATGGAATTTTCCTTTTGAATTTGCAATCTGATGCTGTCTGGCTTCTATATTTGAATGTTTTTTGTACTATTTTCCCCCGGCCGAGCATTGTTGGGACATCGGGGCCGAACGTATACTCGGTCTGGTTCTGTACTGTTTGCCCCCAGCCGAGCTCTGTTAGGATCTCTGGGCCGAACATGTGCTCGGTCTGGTTAACGAATATGTTGCATGGCTATACTTGGTTTTGTAATGAAAAGAAGAGGGTCTTACTTAGGTCCAGGTTGGTTCAAAAAAACAATTGTTTGCCCCTACCTGGAGCTAAGTAAGATCTATGCTGGAGACTGTGCTCTCTACGTAGAGCTGCTTAAGTCTGTTGAAACTTTGATATCATAAATGTACTTGAATGGGATAAAGATATGAAGAGGTGTCTTACTTTGGTCCAGGTTGGTTTAAAAAACAATAGTTTGCCCCCAGCTGGAGTTGAGTAAGACTAGTGTAGGAAGTTTGTTCCTGATAGAGTTTAGCTTAGTCTGTTCCAACTCTGTTTGTATACAGCAGTGCTGAGGTGTTGATGTAACGATACTTAAGAGATTTTGTAGATTCAGAGATGTTTACTTAAGATGTGTTAGTGCGGTTTCCACTAAGCAGTTCCACTTGGCTAAAGTCTAATTTAGTTGCGAAACATAATTCCACCAAGTAGTTCCACTTGGCATGTTTGAGTGCTAACTAAATTTTAATTCCGTTCAATCATTCTGAAACTAAGTCCATTTGGGTTAAGACTAAAGCTGAGTTCGTTTGATACACATCAAAGCTAATTCCGTTTGATAAACATCGAAGCTAATTCCGTTTGATAAACATCAAAGCTGTTTCCTTTTGGTATGCACCAAAGCTAATTCCGTTTGATAAACATCAAAGCTAATTTCGTTTGATAAACATCAAAGCTATTTTCGTTTGGTATGTACCAAAGCTAATTACAAAATTTTGACGGTCTCGAGAGAAGTGAGGAGACATTTGAATTGGCCAAAAGATAAATGTCTTTACATCCTGATAGAGAAGTTGGGACTTAATTCTATTGATAGTATGTCTTGAGATTTGCTACATTCCAGGGCCGTGGTATGACTCGGCCTTTAAGATTCTCCAGGTAGTAAGCTTTATTTCCAGCAACAACTGTGACTTTGTAGGGACCCTCCCAGTTAGGCCCAAGTTTTCCTTTGTCGAGCACCCTTTTGTGATCCATGACTTTCCTCAAAACTAGTTCTTCGGGCGTGAATTGTCTTGGGAAAACTTTTTGGTTGAAATTCTTAATGAGCTATTGCTGGTATGCTACCAGTCTGATCAGTGCGGCTTCTCTTCGGCCTTCTACCATATCTAGTGCTTGTGCAATAGCTTTCTCGTTATTGGGGCTTTCAAACAATTCAGACCGGAGGGTTAGGAGACCAACTTTGAGTGGGATGACGGCCTCCATTCCATAAGTCAAGGAGTAAGGTGTTTCTCCGTTGAGTGTCGTGCTGTGGTTTGGTACGCCCATAGTACGTGGGGTAACTCTTCAACCCACTTTCCTTTTGCATGTTCAAGCTGTTTCTTTACTCCGTTGATGATGGTTTTGTTTGACACTTCTGCCTGCCCATTACGTTGTAGGTACCCTGGAGAAGAGTTCCGATATTCAATTCTGAAGTCGGTACAAAACTTTCTGAAGATCTTTCCATCAAACTATGTTCCATTATCTGCAATCAGTACCTACAAGATGCCGAAACGCACCACTACGTTTCGCATGACGAACCGCTTTGTGTCCGCTTCTTTGATACTTGCTAGTGCTTCGACTTTAACCCACTTAGTGAAATAGTCGGTTACAACAATGAAAAATTGTCTGTTCCCAGTACCTCATGCCAATGGTCCTACAATATCCAGTCCCCATTGGGCAAAGGACCACGGGCTGGTGAGTGGAGTAAGAGTTTTGGCTGGCTGACGTATAAACGGAGCAAACCTCTGACATTTATCGCATTTCTGAACTTACTACTGTACATCTTGTTGCATCCGTGGCCACCAGTACCCATGAGTGAGGGCTCGGTGCACCAGTGACCTTCCACCAGCGTGGCATCCACAAATCCCATTGTGAATTTCATAGAGAACATTTTCGACCAGATTTGGATACACACACAAAAGATAAGGACCGAGATAGGAGCGTCTGTACATCTTCCCAGATGGTGAGATCCAAAACCAAGCTGACCTATGTCTGATTTTGTTGGCTTCCTTTTTGTCTTCAGGGAGGGTGCTAGTTTTTAGAAAAGCAAGTATCGGATCCATCCAGCTCGGCTCTAAGTTGCTGCAGAGGACTAGAGATGCAATACTTGGTTCTGACACGAGCTCAACCCAAATTTTTCTAGCGTCCTTGGTATCTACTGATGAGCTGAGGCAAGTTAGAGCATCGACGTGGCTATTTTTGTCCCGGCTGATTTGTTCCACTTACATGGATCGAAATTTTTGAGTAGATCTTTGGCCTTGCCTGCGTACATAGCCATTCTTTCGTCTCGTGTTTCATAGACCCTAGAAAGCTGGTTATCACCAGTTATGAGTTGCTGAAAACAAGAAGTTGTTCTGCACTGAAGTGTTCGGTACTACGTAGGCCAGCCAACAATGTTTCATACTCCGCGCCATTGTTAGAAGCCTTCCAATCGAGCCTGAGAGTCTGCTCCTAAATAAATCCTTCTAGTGAGATAAGTACTAATCCTGCCCCCGAGCCTCGGTTATTGGATGATTCGTCAACATAAAGCTACCATATGTCTCCAATAAAGAGTTTTCATGCTTCCGAAGCGCAATGCTTTCCCTGTTCGGTGGTGCATGGCACCTGTGCCGAACTTGGACTCCCTAGCTCGGTACTCTGGGTGGGAGCAAATTCTACGATGAAATCTGCCAAGACCTGGGCCTTGATTGCTATCCTGGGTTGGTACCAAATGTCAAACTCACTAAATTTTACCGCCCACTTTGCTGTTCGGCCAAAGAAATCTGCTCGGCTGAATACAGATCGGAGAGGGAATTCAGTGAGGACATTAATGGTATGCCCCTAGAAGTAATGTTGTAGCTTTCTTGAGGCGATAAGCAATGCGTAAGCTAACTTTTCCAAGGGTAGGTAGCGTGTCTCGGCGTCTAGTAAGGTCTTGCTAACATAGTATACTGGCCTCTGCTCCTTGTTGACTTCTCGAATCAATATCGCGCTTACGGCGTGATCGAAAACTGCTAGATCTAGGTACAGCTCCTCTCCTGGTTCTGGAGTGGACAGAAGAGGTGGTGTACTGAGGTATCTTTTGAGACTTTGTAATGCTTCAGTACATTCAAGACTCCAGTCAAACGCTGCCTTTTTCCTCAATAGCTAGAAGAAAGGCTTCATCCGATCTGAAGATTTGCTGATGAACCGATTCAGGGCGGCCACCATTCCGGCTAGCTTCTGTAGCTCTTTAGCCTTTGTTAGTACTTCAAGCTCTTGTATTACTTTGATTTGATCCGGATTTGCCTCGATTCCTCTGTGAGTGACCATATACCCCAAAAACTTCCATGTTCCTACCCTGAAAACGCATTTCGAGGCATTAAGGCGAAGTTGGTGGTTCTTTAGGATACTAAAGACTTCTCTTAAGTCTGTAAGGTGGCTCATAACGAGCTTGATTTTTACTACCATATCATCTATATAAGCTTCCATGGTCTTTCTGAGTTGGTCCTTGAACATTCGAGTGATCATTCACTGACAGGTTGCCCTGGCATTCTTGAGGCCGAACGACATTACTTTATAGCAATAAGTCCCCCTTGGAGTGATAAATGTTGTCTTCTCTTGATCCGAACCGAACAACGGTATCTGGTGATAACCGCTATAAGTGTCCAGAAAGCTCATACGTTCATGCCCTGCTGTTGAGTCTACCAATTGATCGATGTGAGGCAGTGGAAAGCTGTCTTTGGGACAAGCTTTGTTTAGGCAAGTAAAGTCAACGCAGCCTCTCCATTTTCCATTCTTCTTCTTGACTACAACTGTGTTGGACAGCCATTGTGGGTACTAAACTTCTCTAATCGCTCCCAATGCCAGGAGTTTTTTGACTTCGACAATTACTGCTTCAGTGTGCTCAACTGAGGACCTCCAAATTTTTTGTACAACAGGCCGAGCAGAAGGGTTGATGTTGAGCTTGTGGCAAGCAAATTCTGGGTTTAATCCTGGAGTATCGCATGCTGACCATGCGAATACCTCCATATTTTCCCTCAGCAGTTCAAGCAACTGAAGTTTCTCATCAGCGCCTAGCGAGGTACCGATAAGGAAGTACTTTTCTGGATTATCCTCCTTTACCAGGACTTTCTCCAAATCCTCTACCATCTCTTCCTCTGGGGCTCCCCCCACATCTTCCAAAACTGGCTGTTCAGCCACTTCCACTGTCTGTACCCGATTACAAAGTTGCTTGGCCTTCAATGCCGCCATGAAGCAATGTTTAGACATAACTTGATCCCCTGATATCTGTTCTACTCCGTGTTCCGTTGGGAAACAGATGAGCTGGTGGTAGGTTGAAGAGACCGCTTCCATTTGGTGAATCCATGGATGGCCAAGTATGGCGTTGTAAGAGGAAGGTGTATTAATAACTAGAAACTCTCTGGAGGGTCTTCGTTCCAACCACAACTGGCAACACTTTTATGCCAAGTGGCCACTCTAGCTGTGAATTGAAGCCGACTAACGGAGCTATTGCTGGGGTGAGGTGCTGCTCGGAGAGACCAAGCTTTCTGAACAAGTCATAATACAATATGTCTGTTGCACTGCCTTGATCTACCAGGACTCGTTTTACGTCAAACCGTTTCCCAATTCCCACAGTTATAATCAGTGCATCAGTATGTGGGTGTTGTATACCTTCTAAATCCTTTCTAGTAAAGCAAACAGTGCATAAAGGGGGTTTGGTTGCCGAGCGTACCTTTTTCGATGCGGGCTCTACCGACATGACCTGCTGAATTTGCACAGCCTTAGCAATCTCTTCTCTCAGTGTCTCTTCAGGTTCCTGGGTCGTTGTTCTATGGATCACATTTATTATCAACCGAGGTGGGTGCTCAATGTTTGGTTCTGGTGGTGGGTTCCCCGGTTCGGTCACTTTTTTATCCTGATCTATGTAATCCCGGAGGTGCCCAGCTGCTACTATGTCTTCCAAGTGTTGCTTCAGTGCTCTGCAGTTCTGTGTCATATGCCCCTTGTCTTGGTGATAGGTGCATCTAAGCTTCTGATTACGCCGAGCCGGATCTCCCAACATTTTTGGCGGCCAAACAAAGAAGGGCTCTCTCTTGATCTTTTCCAAAATTCGATAGATTGATTCCTTGAATACGGTCATAACTGCTTCATGAGATTTGGAATTATCCACTTCATTCACCGTGAGCCCTCGGTGTTCTCCTCGGTCCGTTTTCTTCTTGTGCCGAGTTGTTTGTTCTGCTGACGCTTCCTCGATGAGGATCTGATCATCTTTGAGGCGAGCATACTGTTCAATCCTGGCATGCAAATCTTTCAATGCTGTGGCCGGGCACTTGGTAAATGATTGTCTCAATTTACTTTCCAGGCGCAGACCATGTTTAAAAGACATAACGACCATCTGCTCACTGTACACATTTTCCTCCAGGTCATTGTACTCTTCCCAATACCTCCTAGCATAACTACGCAATGTTTCTTCCTGCTCCTTTCGGAGACCAAACAGTGTATCCGGCTCTTTCGGGGTCTTAGTGTTGGAGACAAACCTGGCCAGGAACTCTTCGTAGAGCTGCTTCCAGCCATGAATTGATCCAGTGAGGAGCCGATCGAACCATCGAAGTCGGGTTTCTCCCAAGCTGGATGGGAAGACTTTGCACATCAGTCATCTCGGCTCCATAGAGACATCATCTGTCTGTAATGGCTAATATGCGTCAGTCGGTCCGACTTCCCATCATACGAAGTAAACTTTGACGGGCTAAATTACTTTGGAGGTCTCATGGCCTTGATTTTCGGGGAGAATGGTGAGGAGACGAGCCTATCCAGCGCTCGGTGCTCTCTCTGGTGAATGATATGGTCCAGATGATCCCGACGTTGTTCGTTCTGCTTGTTGCCAATCAGCCAAGTACGAAGGTCTTGAGGAGGGCATTCAATCTTTTGGCTAACCGTCTTCTGCCTCTTAGCCCTTCTCCGGCGTGACCCACGGGTGTAGCTGCTCACCGCTTCACTCTGTACTGGGATTGGCTGGCTTTGCTGCGCAGACTCATTTCTGGGGAATTTCTTCACTGGTGGCTCTTTGGATAAGCTCCTCCGTCGTAAGTGTGAGGACTCTGCTTTAGTCTTCTTTTCCGTTGGGTCACCCAGCGCCCTTTTGAGTTGCGCTTTCAGCTCTTGTATCTCCATCCCCATGGAGTCTATGATTCGATCTCTGTAATCCTTTTCCAAAAGAAAGTGATGAGAAGAACCTCCAGTGAAGGGTAATCGATACTCAACGGATTCGGGGGCCCGGTTATTGTTTCCAGTTTGTTCTTCTAGGACTGTTGGGAGTGCCAAGCTTTTGTCCTTTGTCTTCTCCGTCTGTGGAGTATGTGTGGAAGGTGGGATGTCCTCAATCCCCATCGCCGGAACTGAGTGCATAGCTCAAAGACAAAGTGATCCACGTTCGCCGCACCAATTGTGCGTACTGGATTCTGCAATAGATAAAAGTGGATCGGGGCTCTGCACTCGGTTGGCCTATCCAAGGATTGAGATTCCTGCAGCAAGAAGCACCGTAAGAGCTGTCCGGCCGGGGTTGGCCGGATAACCCCTTCGGTGTGGGAATCAGTGATCGGAGAAGAAGTGTAGAGAGTTGAGTTTGTTGTAAGTGGGGTTCAACTTAGATCAGGTACCTTCAATGTGAAGTTTTTGTAGTGTATATGGAGTTCCTTGATTGTTTCCCAAGATGGTTTCATGGAGCTTTGGTGCTGCCAAGCTTCCTTTAACATTGCTCAAGGTAGGGGACCACCAAGTTGTTGATAATGGATGCACATACTTGTTGTAATCATGCTTATAACGAATCACATTCTTCTGGTTTAACTGTTCCCGTGATTCTAGATGTAGGGGACCAGCTGAGGTGACAACTTGCACATGCATATACTCATGGCTTCCACGTTTCTTCGAGAGGTTCCCTCAGCTCGGCACCATTGTGCCTCGGCTCGGCCCTTTGCGAGGCTACTGTTGGGATGGGCTGGCCCATTCGGATATTTGTGTACGGATTTGGCCTACTTTGGTTCTGATGATGGGTTCAACCCATCAGTTTGGCCCATAAAATAGGTCCTGCAGCTCAGCCCTAGTCCAGTATCGTAGCTGGACTGGCCTTTCCACTGCGAGTTGGGCCCAAGTGCTTGAAGACTTGGGTGGAATGTTAGTAATGGAACTAGGCTTAGTTGGGTTGCCCACATGCTCATCTATTGGGGGATTGGACCGGCCCAAGGCTTGGGTCCGACCCATTTCTTATTTAGCCCCTTCAAATGTTATAATTATTCCCATGAATTTGCTTTTTGTATTGAGGTTCTAGGAATTTTCATGTATGTTTGCTTTGGTTATTAATGCTTCATTTTGGTTGTTAGTGAAAAAAAAAAACAAAAAACAAAAAACAAAAAACAAAAAACAAAAAGGGAAATGCACAAAACTGAATTGATGAGTTTGACTTGATTTTTTTATGTATAGCTTCCTTTGTCATCTCCTTTGTTGTTGGATAAAAGAAGAAGAAGAAAAAAAAAAAAAAAAAAAAAGCTTCA